AAATGAAATACTCTTGGGGATCAAGAAGGACATAATTGTTGTTAATAAACAGAATCAGCCTAATTGGCAAAATGTTTTTAGAAGTCTTTTCAAATTAATCTAAGTTCCAAAATAGTTGGGAGAAATGCCAGAGAACTAGAAGGTAAGTTTTATAAGTCTGGCCTATATTTCACATTTTTGTAACCTTAATTTTAATGCTACTTGTCTTAAATATACCATAGTGTTTTCCAAAGCAGTGTTCATCTGGAGTGAATTAACAAAAACAGCTACACTGGCCCTGAGGAAAATAAAATCCCCATTAAGACAAATTTATTAGCAAGTTCAAAGTTCACAAAATAATTTACAAGCTTTGATAACTGTTTTGCAAAACTTGGACTGACTTTATAAAAGCCAGTTCCATATGGAATGTGGATTTTTATCTTCTCAGAGATACTTAACTTGGAAATTCTGAACTATCAAAAATGCAAACCAAATCATATATGGTTTATGGGCTCAGATATCAAATAAAAATATATGCTAAACAGTATGACCCAGTCAGAGCTAGTCCAAGACATTTTGCTGTCTGAAGTGTAGAACAATATAGTGCCTCCTCACATTCCATGTACTTAAACTGTAATCACAGTTGACTTTTTCTCCAACACTGGTATTGTAACACTATCTCTGCATGTGTACCTGGTTTTGGCCTTGGGTCCATATCAGAAATATACCCCTAATAAGAACCAACATGATCAAACAGTTACAAACTTGGCAAGCGTAAAAAATAGTATGAAGAACTTTCAAGTGTTGCTTTTATCACTGCTACTACTTAGATGCTGTTATATACCATTGACATTTAAATTGAGGTAGTAGTAGTGGCAACAGTTGTGATAAGTCTCTTTGGGACACTCCCCACTTGCACCTGGGTATAGTACCAACATGCCCTGGCAACATCTTTTTTCTTCTGTTTTACCATGATGTTGCATTCATCTTGTTTCCACTCTATGAGTGAGATAGGCATAAGTTCTTTCCCTTATACCAACAGCTTTCAATGGCAGCTCAAAGTGTGTGAAATCTGTTATACGTCAACCATTATGCTGCAGATGAAGTCAAGTAATCAATAGCAGATGGAATCAGAGGTGTGCTTATTTGTCATTTCAGGCAGATGTGGGTATACCCCCTCCCCTCTGGTCCCCAGCCGTCATTCTGCAGTTATCTCTGCATGTAGTTGTATATAGCAACATTGTGCTGCTGGTTGATCAGAAATGCACAATAGTTCTAAACTATTTAACTAGCAGTAAGTGCTTTAACTCTACAGTATGACCCATACCGGTTTCGTGCAAGGCTGGAGTAGCAAAACAATGGAATTGTGTACCAGTGAAATAGAATAGCAAGCCCAGCTAGTGTAATGTTGAAATGATGGACTTCCACCATCATTGCATCCCAGACAGAACACAGAAAAATTTGGAAATCTGCATGTGTTGTCTATGTAAAGAAAGAAAAGGAAGGGAAGAGAAATTCATAGTAAAAGTGTTGCTTGTGACTTAACTCCTTTCATAACTCTGTTCTGTTTTGGTTTTTACTTTATTGACTTTGGGTTATGACAAAATGGACTGTAGGGAGAGGAGCATAGGATAACAAGCCTATAAATTATAGACAGAAGCTTGCCACAGTGTTCAGATGGGCAGACAGTTTTCCCCCCAACTGGTGGCATGCAAAGCCAGAAGCAGGCATTGCAGACACATAATCAGGGCAGCACCATTTGGCAGTAACCTGAAATGGTCACTAGAGAGTCAGGAGAGGGGACAATTTTTGCTGATTCAAAGATAGGTGAATAACATTCACTCAGCAGGCCCAACCCCTTATGGATTTTTTGCATAAAAAGAAAATGATTTGTGACTTATGGTTTTGATGATTAGAAAGAATAGGTTATAGAAAGAAGGGAATTATGATGTAATCTTAGAGAGGCTTGATTAGAATTGTATGTATAACTGCCAAGAGGAAGATTGGAAAATAGATAGATAGATAGATAGATAGATAGATAGATAGATAGATAGATAGATAGATATTGTGTGTGTGTATGTTTTCTGTTCTTTTTATTTTTTCTCCTTTTTCTTTTTTTCTTTTTCACATTTACTTTATTTTTTCTTTTTCGCATTTTCTTTCTTCTTTTGTCTTTTATATATGTAAAATCTTTTAATATAAACTATTAAAAAAAACTCAGCAGGCCTAATGGTGTATAGGAAGGCTGAGATCTGGGACCTCACATCTGAATAAACTCATATTGGGCTGGCTTGAGTAGGCACATAAAGTTAGTACCTATAATTCAGAATACTAGATTTATGTCACAAATGTTTAACAATTATTGTTTGTATGTGAGGGTTTTTTTCAATGAAATCCACTGGAAATTTTTCCAATATTACATTACATTACATTACATTGAATTTATCTCCGCCCATCTCCCCCAAAAGGGAACTCTGGGCGTTAGTGATGCAGATATTAATGTGCATAACTGATTAAAAATATCCAATTATATCTTTTTTCCATGATTACTCTCCACTGCCCAGAAGAGGGCAATGTAGGCTCTTGCAATCTACAGTAATGTTCTTGAGCGTGTACTCTTCTAACCTCAAGATGCTTCCAGACAAGACTTTTATTGCGCAGTCACCTTGAATGGAGTCATTGAATTTTGTGAAGGTTGACAGGAAGGGGAATTTTCCTCTTGGAACCCTTTAAGGTTTTCAGACCTCCTGTCCCATCTTCTCTCCCACCAAAAAGCAATCGCTAAAGAGGCAAAGACAGATCAGCTGCATTAACTTTTGAATGGTAAGACCCTCAGTTTCTGGGAAGCAAACATGGTTATACTGCCTGCCTGCATTCAGCTCCCTGCATATGATCATGCTTCATGTTCAAAACACTTTATTCTCCCCATGCCCCTATTGTATACTGTTTAGCAGCAGCATCACTAAATAACTATTGTATTCATTGGTTCATCTACAACCATGATAATATTAAAGATTTGTTATAGCTATGCTATGTATGGTATGAAATGGCCTTTATTACAAACCTAGATGCTGTATTTCTGGAGCAGATACTGTTATGGACTTCTTACTTTCTATCATGATTTTTCCATGAGAATGTCAAGAAAACAGTGCTCAGGACCATACTAAATGGTCCTAGACTTATTTTAAAATGTCTTCATTTTCTCATCTTTAATAAATATACTACCAAGATCCATCTACTTGTTCTGTTTTTTCACCATAACTTATCATCATTCACTCATTTCCCTCAGAAACACACCTATCTTGATTGATTAGATATTAATTTTCAGACTCCTTGTTGCATCACGCAGTCTATCTAACTTTCTTAACCAACACTACATTGTCTGCATAAAAAAGTACACACACATTTCACGTCCACAACCAACAAATGTCTAACTTCATCAGAAACATTCTTTATGTTTGCCTATAAATATATAATCAGCCAAGAGGATATCACATATCCTTACTTTACTTCTTGTTCAACTGAACCATTCAAGAAACATTCAATCTCACACACTATTTACTTCCATCACATATAGCTCATTGCATTCAGCAACCAACCTTCACTTCATATTTGCTCAAAGCTTTCCATAATTCAGTCTATTTATCACATGCTTTCTCTAAATCAACAAAAGTACAATAAACATTCTTTTTCATGTTCATACATTTCTCAGTGACTTGCTGAAGAGCAAAAATCTGTTCTGAACACATCTTGCCAGGTGTAAATCTGCATGTTCTTCCCAAATTTTGCTCACTGTCACATCTTATACTTCTGCATTTTTGCAGCTTTCTCTTTTATCCATTTTTTCTCTCATCCACAACTTCTTTCACTCCATCATTCTACCAAGAACCCTTTTTCATTGTTCCCATTAGCTTAACACCACACACTTCTGTGGTACATCAGAATTTCCCATCACCCTTGCATCCTTCATTTACTCTCTCAATCTTTCATCATAAACAATCAAATCAATCATGCTTTTATATTCATTCCTTTGCCATGAATATGCATGAACAGACTTATACTTAAACCATGTATTCAAAACAAATGGATCTTTTCCTTAGGAAATAAATCACTAATTACCATTGCCATTTACTCTTGGAACTCCAGATGACCCAGTCAGACTTTCTATGCACCTTGTCTCATTCCCACCCATCCATTTATGTTTCCCAACCGAATATTTTTCCCCCAGTTCACATTCATTCAGAACTTTGCAGTTTTTTCCAATATTCATGTTCAGTTATCACCATTCACTGCAGAATACTGTAACATACAATATCACTACCCAGTTAAGTCCTACTTACCTATGTATCTACAGCAAACTAGATGATACCAATTCATATATTTCAGGTATTTCATGCAGCTTCTATTTTTCTTTCTTTCATTTAATTTCTTCATTCACACTTTTTACCATTTAGTCTTCCCATATTCAAAATTGCAGTTTTCCATATGCCATATGTCACTAGATAAATCAGTAAAAATTGCCCTCTGCCACCCATCATAGCTTTGGTCAATCAAGGTTTTCACATAATGGTTTTCAATAATATACGAAGAATTAGTTTAGATTAGATTAGATTAGATTAGATTAGATTAGATTAGATTAGATTACCAGCCTTAATTGTACATGTAACATTCCTTGTAAACAGTAGTGGTCAGTTTTAACATATTTTGGGCAGTATGCCACAAGCACAACCAAAGCTTAATTTTGCCCAAGGCATGTTCCTGCAAGTATAGTTCTTTACTTTAGAAACTAGGACTGTGCAGTGATTTGGATTCAAAGGGGAAAGGCAATTTGGAGCATATGCGGGCACATACATAATACCTTTCAGAACCTCCTTAATTCCTCAATATTACATGAGCTCAGGAAAAGAATATAGTTTCTTTAACTGTCAAGTTGGTGACAAGTGCTACGTGAACACACACAGGGGCTCTGAATGACATTTACTTTTATTTATTTATATTTTATTTATACATTCGATTTTATTCACCGCCCATCTCCCCCCAATGGGGAACTCTGGGCAGCTCACAAAGTACATATATAATCCTAACAGGCTATTGCCATACTATGTGCATTATTTTCATGGACATCCAGAGTTCTAAATGCATATGTATGTACAGAGATAATTGCTGATGTTTATCACCTTTATCAAAATTTTGATGTGGCTACATATCAATAGTAACTCAAGTGGCAAATTTATCTTCTGTGCCCTTGGTTTTGCAATCCAAATGAACAGCAAACTTCTTGGGCCAATACACAAGTGTCCGTAAAGCCTGCTTGTTTGAGCTAGACAGCATTTTTTCCAGCCCACCAATGGGGAGAACTGGACAACAAAAACTGGAGGCTCCTCACTGTTCTCCTTGCTGCATTAGGGGAAAGCAGGGTCATAGCCACTCCTCTATTCAGCAGAATAGGATGTGAAAGAAAGAAGCTATCATGGTCTTCACTTTGGAGCTTTGGAGGAGGGAGGGAAATCCCAGAAGCAGAAAGCAGGATGCGGTAAAGTAGGAGTTCCCACCAGAGGAGGATGATCCCCTCTTCAGCTTCACAGGAAGTGCTGTAAAACTGTCATGCAGCATTTTTTCTAAAGCAGGAATGGAGCTGATTTACCTGTGGAGTTAATTGGCTCAGTCTTCAAGACTGCTAGGAGCTCCACAGCATTAGAAGGGGCATAAGCCAAAAAGCAGGCAAGAAATTAAAACACAGGACTGATTAGACTATTATAGAACAGAAGAGTCTAATGCCTGTCCTCCTTCAGAAAGAGTTTTCAGTCCACATTGCAGTTAAATATATATTTAATAAGCAGGAAGCTCTAGATGCATTTCATGATCGTGATCAGAAGGTTGGATGCTTCTTAGAAAGTTCATCTGCCACTATTGTTGACATTGCATGTCAAACATGGCTCCTTCAGCTTTTATCTAGAGAAGGAACATCTTCATCGCAGTGACTCCCATTGGGCAGCCCGTGGGACAATTTTCTTATGCAGAGCTTTACAGTTAGGCCTTTTCGCATACGCCTTTGGTACAGGAGGACTGTCCAAAGGTTTCTGTCTGAGTTGGAAATGAACCTGAAAGAGAAAAAAATCACTGAACTGCCATCCAATGAAGAGTTACAGTACATATTGTATCATCTCTCTCTGCCAGATGGAAGCTTGTGATATTCCCTTTTTTTCCATTTGGAAAGTCAATTCAATTAGACAAGGTCCTGTGGACAAATTAAAACAAAAAACAAAAACTATGCAGTAAAACAACAAGGGAAAACACATATTTGCAAACTTGCCATCAGTGAGTCAGGAGGACTGGATTCTAGGAAAGTCATTTCTATATAGATGCATATACCTCATTTATGACTGTATTTGGGTTTTTTTCAGAGCTGCTTAATGGTCTCTAGATTGATGGTGTGTTATTTTTGTTTACAAAACTATATATTTAGAGCTAAGATTAAGATTCTGATGTAACCCCCCCAAAAAACTTTTATAGTCTTTCATCAGAAAGAGAACGGACTAATAAAAGATGTAAGAGATATTTCATCCTTTGGGACAAGCAAAGATAGTAAAAGTTAGCTCCAGATTTGGGTATACTTCCTGGTAATGGGAAATAGCATTTCCAAGGAATGCTCTGATCAGTGCCAGGTAGCTGGGCCCAGGTGTCATGTTAATTTCCAACCATTCCTCAGATCAATGGTACGAAGGAAAAAATGTGGGGAATTAACATTTAGCTAAGGTGAATCATTTCACATTTCTGCAGGGGTAGGGAATTTGTCATCCTTCAAATGTTGCTGAACTACCAGCATCTCTTACCTTTGGCTATGTTGGCTGGGACTGCTTGGGAGTTATATAGTTCAGCAACAACTTGATTCCTCTCCCGTGATTGTTGGACTAGCTTTTATTAAAGGGAGTCCAACTAGGGCACCTAGGTTCTTGCTATTGTTGAAGGATAACCTTTGCTGTTGATGGATAGCACAATCTGAATCATATTAGTTGCATTGTTTTCCCAGCCAAAGCTGTTTGTGGCTAGCAGGATCATAAATCGCTTCTCTTTATATAAGCCAGCCTCTTATAAACTAACGATTCCAAGATAGACTGTGTGACTAGTAAATAGGGTATGCTCAGATATGGGAAAATAAATTATACTTAAGAGAAATGTAGAGAGGATTCTCATGTGAGATTTTTTTTCCTTCCAATATGGAAAAGGTGTACCCTTCTTTTGGGCTGGAAAGATATTTCCCATTTCTACAATATTTCCACTAATCAAGATTCCAAGATGTATTGCAATTGAGGAAATGCAGATACTTTCCTCCTTTTCCTTCCCTACTGTACTTCATGCTTAATACTGGAAGTGGGAGAATTGTATTTTCTCTTTCCTTCAGTACTCACCTGTGAGGGCTCAGCTGGGCCAACAGTTACCATCGCGGTCTGGGATTGGTAACCATCTGCTGATGCAGTAATTCTATAGTTACCAGGCAATAGTAACCTGAAGTAGTCACCATGTTCACCTACAAGAGAAAAGAAGATGCTGAAACATGCAGATGATAAAGGCTCAGTTTGAAAATGAGGAAGCCTAGAAGAATAAAATTCTGGCTAGTACCATCATTTAGGAATTGGAACGAGTGAATTACTGATCCATCCACTGACACTCATGTGGTAATTTTTTAGTCAGTGACCAAGGGTCATTGGATGGTAAATGGTCAGAAGAGAACTAAACCAACATTTTGATTAGTTGGGTGAATCACATAAGAAGATGCTTCTAAGGAAACCATAGTTCTGTTCAAATATTCAGCCTGAATGCAGAAGAGCACAATATGGAGGTGGCTGAGTTCACACATGGAAGTCCTATGTTCTATGGACATCTTTCCCATTCATGCTTCATCTTATGAAAGTCTAAATGTCTTCAATTCAACATCCATGGAATTCTTGGATGCTATTTGGGCCTTCACGTGTTCAAGCTGAATATAGCATATGTCAGTGGTTGTGAAGACCGGATGAGTAAACAATCCCAGAGGTGAAGCAAGCTGTTCCTTGTCCTTCATGGCTCACAAATCCACTCAAACACTAAGCAATGTAACTTTTGGAAAGACACAAACCAGTGATCAGTACACAGTAACCAAGAAAAGCAAGATCTGCACCCAAAGTTTCTCAGGAAAAAAAAAACTGACCCAGCTAAAACTCAGCCATATATGTATATATATAATAGCTGCATTGGAAGTCAAGCAGTTGGCCTTTGAAGAAAAAGAAAAGAAAAGAAAAAAAAACCCACAGCTGTATGGGCACTAGATGGTGAAATTCAGTCTAGGGGAATCAGAACCTTTCAGCCACACGTTTTAAGGTTGACTCTTGGCTTAGATGCCTAAGAGTTAATACAAATACCACAAACTCCAGAGTAAGACAAGATAAGCTCCTGTCCACAGACCAGCCTGACTACTCCATGTGTATACTTCACACAAACATATACATACAGTATATATTCTAAGGCTAATGGTGCAATACTATAATAGTAGATGTTCCCTGTATTGGAACTGTGCCAGACAAGAACAATGAGTTTTCCTCAACTTGATACCCTCCTATGGTGTTAGGACTACAACTTTCAGAATCTTCAGAAAGGGAATGCTGACTGTTAAAGTCCTCCCAACACATCTGGCAGGCACCAGTTTGGGAAGGACTTTCATAGGCTTATGTCTAATTTCTGAACTTGTTTACTAAATTCTAGCAAATTATTTTTTTCATTCAGATTACAAATGTGGTAAATGGCAAAAGGGGGACGCGGTGGTGCAGCGGCTTAATGATGCTGAAAGTTGCCGGCCAGAAATGGTCGG